GTATTCTGCTCCCTGAGGCAAAAATAGTTTTGTACCAACAAACGGAGCTTCTGATGACAGATGATGAGGGTCTCTATTATCTTGCAGGTATCTTTGTCATGGATGCAATACCAGGAAATTGGGACACATGCTTATCTAGTGACGTTAGGCTTTACTGTATGTGGAAAGACTCCTAAATGCAGCTAATCGAGTACACGAGCGTCATAGTCGGTAATTGCAACCAAGCTCAACTGACATTACATTGAGAGATAATATACTATTATTTATCAAGGGTTTTTCCTTTCCTTTTGAAGGTGCACGGACTTGCACTGCCACAAAGAGCTTATCACATCAATTGAACGACAGAATGGTTAGTATTTTTATTATTATTATTATTATTATTATTATTATTATTTGCACTCTAATCAGAGGTCTTGTCATTGTGTTCGATTGATGACGAAATGCACGTTTGTTGCGAGACTGTTTTCCTGGCTGTTCAGTGTTAGTAAAGTTATAAGTACGAGCAGTACTTTCTTCGGTGAAAATACTGCTATTCGCATACTGGTGACATTTTATTCGGGTCTTTTAAATGCCATAACCTCTATTAAAAATCATGAAAACAAACATACACACACGATTGTTTGTGTATATGCATAATCATAGTTATTGCATCGTGAAATAAAGATACAAATGATGACAATTTAAGTTTATTTCACACATATATGTGACAGATTCATTATATATTCATTGTAGAAAAATTAATATTAGAGCCATGGGTAGTTTGCCAAGGCTTGGATTCAGTTAAGAGGATTGTTGATAACTTTGCAAGTGCAGGGGATTAGAGGGATGGACACCGCGCTACTGTTTACAAGCAAATTGGGTGAGTAAATTCCTGCAAATTGTTATCATTATTACTTTCATTATCACTACCAAAGGCATTATCAGTATTATCATTATTAATATTATTATTATTAATATTGTTATAATACAAATAATAACAACAATGATGATGATCCGTATAATGTAAATGATTAAAGTAATAACGATAATAATGATATTAATAGTAATTATTCGCATTGTTTAAATTATTGTGATTAAGTAAAACCATTACATGATAATTTTTATAGTTATCAATTATGAAAAAAATTATAAGCAATTAACCTACAAGACTTGAAGATGATTGTACACTCTGAACAATCTTTATCTACGACGGGATTTGAGCTTGGCCATATCGGGCCATTGCATTACTGGCCACGGCTCGTTGATGTACTCTAATCGTGATAAAGAAAAAAAAAAAAAAAAAAAAAAAAAAAAAAATATATATATATTATATATATATATATATATATATATATATATAATAATATATATACATATAATATATATATATATATATATATATATATATATATATATATTATATGTAGAGAGAGAGAGAGAGAGAGAGAGAGAGAGAGAGAGAGAGAGAGAGAGAGAGAGAGAGAGAGAGAGAGAGAGAGAGAGAATGATATGAGCGCAAAGATTATTATACTGATATAATGACTACAGATACTGGATTAGGTGGATATCCCGACAAAGAGATTTAAAGACGAGGACAAATTAGAGAAGGAAACACCACGCTAACCTCCCTCCTTCGCAGGCCATGCGCGATGGTGGTGCCTGATCTGGAGCTCATCTGCGAGATCATGCTGGTGGCGGAAGGCTTCATCGAGGCGAAGGTCCTCGCGCGGAAGTTCATTACTCTCTACCGCCTTTGCCGCGAGTTGCTATCTAACCAAAGCCACTACGACTGGGGCCTGAGAGCGATCAAGAGCTTGCTTGTAGTGGCCGGGTCTTTGAAGGTTTGCTACAATTCTTTGAAGTTCCTAGAACAATCTCGAATTATTTTACAGATTTCCTCTCTGCTTCTATTTGCCTCACCATTCTGTCTCCTTCAATCAGCGCGACGACCCTGAGCGTCCTGAGGACCAGGTACTGATGCGAGCCCTCAGGGACTATAACGTGCCCAAGATCGTTTCGGATGACGTGCCCGTGTTCATGGGCCTCATCGGGGACCTCTTCCCCGCCCTGGACGTTCCCCGCAAAAAGGACCTTGACTTCGAGAAGGCCGTCAAGCAAGCGGCGGTCAATCTCAAGCTGCAACCAGAAGACAGCTTCATTCTGAAGGTGGGGAGGGGCTTCATGGCAGCGGGATTCCTTCTAAGAGGTGGTTTTAATGCCTCCACTCTCTAAAACTTACAGTAGAGCAGCACACCTTTTCCTTCGTGCATCCACTTCACTCGTCCCTCCGCCTCCCCCATAGGTGGTGCAGCTGAAGGAGCTCCTGGAGGTGCGTCACAGCGTGTTCATCATCGGGCAGGCGGGCACGGGCAAGACGCAGGTGTGGCGCACGCTCTTCAGGACGACGCAGAACATGAAGAAGAAGCCCGTGTGCTACGACTTGAACCCGAAGGCTGTGACGACGGACGAGCTCTTCGGCTACATCAACCCCGCAACCAGGGAGTGGAAGGACGGTGAGGCGCGCACTTGCGGCGACGACGAGAAGGATGATTGTTATCTTTAAAAGCTTAGCCATGAGTACCATCAATATGAGCGAGAGAATTTTCCACTTGAACGCTGTTATTGACATTGCTAGTGTCACTCATATTACCATCCCTGTTGTTATCATTATTACTATTAGCTTCACTGCTGCCATTTTCATTTCGGCGATCAGCTTTGTCCATTCATCGTTTCTTGATCATATTGTCCCTCCTTTCTCACTGCGCCCATTTATTCCTCCTGCTTCCTCCAGACATCGCCAAGGACATAGGTTCCGCCGCCAGAGAGTGGAAAGACGGTGAGGGGCGCCGAAGAGGGATCGCATGGAGGAGTCTTTCGAATCGATTTTCATTTCTTTATATATGATGCATGTTGTTATTACTACTATTATCATTGTCACCGTCACCATAATCATTATCATCATTACTATCATAGTATTCCTCATCATCGCCACCACCATTACTACCACCACCTCCACCACCACCATTATCCCCATCACCATCATACTCATCCTCATCATCTTTCATCACTGTATGGTTGTTATTATCTTTCTTTTTCTTAATGTTTTCTCCAATATGTTAATATTTGGAGCAGGAACTTTAAGTAAACATTTTTTCGTCATTTGGACTGGTGGCGAAGACAAGCTAACATATGTAAAATGTATTTTTAGTATTTGTTAAACTTTTGGTCTATTAATGTTACTGGTTGAGTTGGTATCATTTTTGCTTCATTCTGTAATTTTCATATCATCATTATTTTCGTTGTCTTCATAAAAATCTGTCTAGTTTATTATAAGATAATATTTTAGGTATTATTTTGATATGATTGTTATTGGTTTTATTTTTTTCCTTATCTTTATCATCATATGAAGCGTTGTTATTGATACTATCTTCATTATCAATGGTCTTATTTTTTGTCATTGTTTTTTTCTCGTGTTTGTTATTATTGTCACCATCATTATTTGTATTCATTTATTCTTTTGCTTTAAAAAAATCACATAGCTATGATTTTCATAATACCAGTCATCACTGACATCTTTTGCACTTTAGTTCCAGAATATCTGTAATTATCTGTAAGTCTGACAGAGGCAGAGGTCCTTGGCTGGAAGTCGATCACTCTTCGCCACGAGTCATTCCCCAGGCAGAACCATTGCACCAGTACCAATAATGACAATTAATGGTTGCTAATTAATGATGAATAATTATCAGCCATTCATTAGCTAGGCAAAGGTTGTTTACATCCATCTTTTCTAATCTTTTTGTTTTATCCCATTTCTAGGGCTTTTCTCCAGCCTGATGCGCGACCAAGCCAACATGGCTGGCGACGCTCCCAAGTGGATCATCCTGGATGGCGACATCGACCCCATGTGGATCGAGTCCCTCAACACGCTCATGGACGACAACAAGGTAGGTAGACACACACATACGTCCTTTTATCTTTTACACACAGAAAATTACATATTCCCTATTGGCATGACCTTCTAATTTGAACTAACAAATGTTTTCCCTCCATTCCTTGGCCCTGGCCCCTCCCTCCAGATCCTGACGCTGGCCAGCAACGAGCGCATTTCGCTGACGCCGCAGATGCGCCTCCTGTTCGAGATCAGCCACCTGCGCACGGCCACCCCGGCCACCGTGTCTCGCGCCGGCATCATCTACCTGAACCAGGGCGACCTGGGCTGGAACCCGTGCGTGCCCTTTGACCTTGGTTGCCTCGTCCCCGGGGTTGCGTCTTAAGAATTCTTCTATGGGTTTCCTTTGTCTTGTTCGATGGGTTACTGAGCTTTGATAAGACTTGTGATCTTGTTTTTGTAAATCATTAAGATGCCTGAATATGGGATTACAGTGATATTCAGTCCAATAATGCTTGTTTCACACATTTTTAATCGAGAAAAATACTCTCCAATAAATGCATTATTACATGTTAATCCTGTTAACCAATTTGAGTAGACAGTAGCTGACCTGTAAACCTAACATGCCTACCCCCTCCCCCTTCGTCCTCAGATACGTCACCAGCTGGATCGACAGCCGTGAGGTCCAGAGCGAGAAGGCCAACCTCATGGTCCTGTTCGACAAGTACATCCCGACTTGCCTGGAGATCATGCGAGTCCGCTTCAAGAGGATCACGCCCATGCCCGAGATCACGCACCTCATGATGCTGTGTCAGCTCCTGGACTGCCTCCTGACGCCGGAGAGCGTGCCTCCTGACAGCCCCAAGGAGGTCTACGAGCTGTACTTCGTGTTCGCCGCCGTGTGGGCCTTCGGGTCGGCGCTCTACCAGGACGGAGTGAGTAGCGCCCGGGGAGGAACTCCTAAGGCATAGCTGTTCATTTTCGTGGCTTACTTTGGCAGAATTCTTGCAGTCAAATCCTGACATCTGATGTTTGAGAAAAATTACGATCACTTTGTTCCTTGTCTCGATATTAGCTATAATAACAAGAACGTTTTCTGCCCAGAACATCGACTATCGCGTTGAGTTCAGCAAGTGGTTCCAGCTGGAGTTCAAGACGGTCAAGTTCCCGTCTTCAGGCACCGTCTTCGACTACTGCATCGAGAAGGAAAACCTTCGCTTCACGCCCTGGTCGGAGAAGATCCCCAAGTTCGAGCTCGATCCCGACACGCCGCTGCAGGTGGGTTCTGGATCTTGTAATTGTAGGCAAGGTCTTTTACCGGGATGATACGTTTATCCGCAAAGGAACGATGACTTTGATCCGTAACCACGTTCCTAATAAGTTTCAGATGACTGTGACTGGCCTTTTGTCGATTTCTTTGAAAGCTTTGTTGATTTAGTCTTTTGTAAGAATGATATACATGTTTCAGGTCCTCGGTAAAAGGTGTATTACTTCTCGTGACATTTCCAATTTTCAGGGTAAATAATCTGTCAATCAGAATATCTCCCATGTACAGATTCTATATTAGGACATCGAAATATAAAATTTTGATAAATACCCTAATTTATAAAAGTCTCAAATTCATCGTGAATTCATCAAAACAATATAGGCTTAATTAGCCATGAAATACTACGTATATGTACGTTTGATCATAATAATTACTGACTATATTATTGGTAATTTTTAGTAACATTGCCAGCAACAAAGGTAATTATAATGGAGATCAAGATGATCTAAACAAAAATAAGGAGAAAAGGGAGAAGAAAGAGAAATTGAAAAAAAGAAAGAACGACAAAGAAATATTAATGATAATAATGGTAATAGTAATAATAAAAATGATAATAATGATAAGGAGGAGAAGGAGGAGGAAAAAAGAAGGAGAAGGAAAAGATGAAGAAAAAAGAAAAGAATGTAATCTCCCCAGCAATTTGTTGATAATGAAAAAAAACGATAAAATGAAGAGAAACAAAGGAGAAGAAGAAAGAAAGAAGAAGAAAAAGAAGAAGTAAAAAATGGAAAGAAGGAAACGGAATAGACGAATAATAATGATAATAACAATAATAATAATAATAAAAAATAATAATCAGGGTATGAGGGAGAAAAGGAAGGAATTGGAGGAGTAAGAGGAGAAGGAGTAGTAGCAGGAAGAAGAGTGAGAGGAGGAGGAGAAGAAAGAGTAAAGAAGAATCACCAACAGAAAAAGAAGGAAAAAGAAAGGAGCAGACGTTCAAGAAGAAAAAAAGAGAAAAAGAAGGAGAAGAAGAAGAGGAAGAAGAGCAATGTGGAGAAAGGGAGGAGGGGAAAGATCACGGGAGGAAGAAGAGGAGGAAAAGAGGAGAGTAATGAAAAGGGAAGGCATTTCATTAATGGAATCTAGTAATAGGTAGACTACTGATGAATAGATTTTTTTTAGAGGACGTTACTGTTCATTCAACAATGACCAGATATTTAGAGTGATAAAATACGCAACATTTATTTCATATGCAAACATCCATGCCAATTAGTTGGTTTCATTGAAAGAATGGTTATTTAACGAAAAACTAATTAAATGGGATTCGCGTTAACGAACAGCAATACTATATGTGTATATATATGTATATATATATATATATATATATATATATATATATATATATATATATATATATATAAACGAAGACCAGTGATAAAAGATTACGGAACAAAATCTGCTTGATAAAGTAAAGGTGATTACTTGCAATACAATAAAATGTACCTCCAAAAATAAGTGTGTACAAAACAAAAAAATACGGCATGAAGTTACTTTCTATTTTGCCAAAAGCCTGTCTTGGACCATGTAACAGAGTTATGCATTGCTTCTGTAATTGCTGCCTGGTAGTTTTGTCTTGTTTACTGCGATATACTCCATTCCGTTTCAACAAGATTTTTTTTTTCTTTAATATGTATCCATACTTTTCTTTCAGATATTTACTCAGTACGAAATAATATTACATATTTATCCTATAATTTTATTGAATTTTGTGTTTCGTATATTTATTGCCCTCTTTCGGTCTGTAACTCTCTCTCTCTCTCTCTGCCTGCCCAACGATCTGTTTGCTCAATGAAGTAGACCATTGAGGTAGTCAGTTGTTTAAGTAGCTAAGAAGTGCATGTTCAGACAGTAGCCAGTTAGCATCGTTATTCAATCCCGTGTGACACTGTACCCATCCCCAGCAGGATTCGCTCAGTCCTCGAGTGTTGTCGGTGAGTCGTGGTTACTCGATGAGAGTCCTGAAACCCCCCGACCAACCCGACTCGCCCCCCACGTGTCGGTGGCAAAATATAGGCCTCCGTCGGACAGGCCGTCTGGTGGCGCATCCCCCTCCCTGCATCTCCGTCCCCAACACCCGCCCTTCGGAGGCCCCTTCAGGACGCCGGGTCTCTTCCTCAGGGAGTTCTCGCGCCGTCGCGTCCGACCGCCCAGACGGCCTGTCTGAGGGACGGGCGCCGCCACTCCTTGAGGGGAATCCACGGCGTCCTGCGTGGGGCTGAGGGGCGGGGCGGAGATGCGCGAGACGCCCATCTGTAAGGCTGTTACACCCAGCACGCGTGTCCGGCAGCCAGTCACTTCCCTGAGTGCATGACTTTAATTTTCGTCCTTTTAACTGCTCGCAACACGGAGTCCCAGTCACTTTTTATCCATAAATGCACTTTCTTAAGTACAATAAATAATGTAAAAGTTAAAATCTAACATTTTGCCTAGAAAGGATTATGTTAATTA